CACTGACACATGCGTAATTGTATAAAGGTTTGCCTCCGAACCATGTTCGCCGCGAGCTGCTGCTCTGCTAGCCAGCGGAGCACAGCGGCGGGTTCTAGTTATTTGCGGCGCACAACATGCGAATTTACCGAGCTTTTGATAACGGTCTCTAAATAATTTGTGACTAACTCAATGCAGGGATAATAAAAAGGCAATATCGCAGACAAATGCGGAGCTCTTTTTCCTTGTCCTATTGAAAATCGACAGACTATTGACTATTGACAACTGAAATAACTTCACTTATCAAAATATCACCTTGGCGACGCCATGTCTGCTATTGTTAGATAAAAACCTGTAACTTTGATAAAGATCGAAAATAACAATATGGTTAATATACTGGATCAGATTTACATTTTCACATCATGCGGAGTTTAGTCCTTCTAACACACAAGGCTCATTGGTTCGTTGGTTCCTAAAATGCAACAACTAATAGCATATTCTGTGAAAAAAGATAGATTAATTACCCTGTGTAGTGTATGATACGTACGATAGACTTTAATAGGGTGTTGACAACACCAGTAAACAAGTAAGCGATGACGCGAGGTGTTCAAGCAACAAACGGACGCGACAACAAACCACCGACTGACCCAGCGGCCCCCCACTGTGGGGCGCTCAATACAAACAAACGCATACAATGGAAGTAGAACCCGTCCGGCTGGACCATGAAAAATTGTTAAAACATTAATCAATACACGTTTGTTATATCGATGGTGTTAGCATGTGGAGTAAACTTTGAAGTAAGTACTTGTATTTCGGTAGGATAATGAGTACCTATGGATAAAAATTCAGAGCAATGCATTTAAAAAAAAACATTAAATTAAAATTCAATATATTGTTGTAAACTTTCATGGTCACTAAAATTATAGTACCAAATATAAGTTATTTACGTGATTGTTACCATGTACCTTGTTATTAGCTAGTTTCCGATATTTAAACTTGCTAAAAACAAGGTACATGGTAACAATCCCGTAAATAACTTATATTATTAAAATTTCATGTTTAGTATCTAAGGATAAAAGCCCTAATTGCTGTCACTCCGTCGTCTGTCTGTCCGTATGTCACGGGTCTCGATATCGTAAACGAAAGGTGTTACAGTACTGATATTTTGGTATTTTATGTAGAACTAGCAAACCAGTGAACTAAATGTTCACCAAAATCTGAATTAAAAAAAAAAATGTATTTAATTAATTGAGAACTTCGGAGATTTTGTGTGGTTTCGTTTTAAATTCGTGATTTCTCGAAAACCGGAAGTGCTACGTTACTCAAATCCGGTTTGTAGTCTTATCAGACTATTCTTAACTTATAACTTAAACATTCTCTTTATCTATCTCTTACAGTTTGGCCGCTGAAACAGCACCACAGACAGACGGACGGACGGACGGACGGACTTGTCTAATAGATTAGAGATCCTTGTACAAAGCCGAATATTGGTTAAAAATTCAATTAATTTATATTTCCTGTGGATCGATTAGTCAATAAAAGGAGAAGAGTTTTTTTTACCCCAGCATGTGACACATCATTGTCTAGAACTCGTTGAGTAGGATTTAAATATGATTTTTAATAATTTTCTAACTTCAATAACAAAGAAATGGTGGGCCGTCAAAGTTGTCATTTTTAGACTATGTATTGTTACGGGGCTATCTCAAAGAAGAAAAAAATGGTTGCCTGTAAAGTCGGTTTTACGGGCGAAGATTTTACGTGACAACGTCTTTTTCTCGGTAGAATATTTATTGATATGAATATAATTAAATTGCACAATAGGAACAAGGAATTGAATGAAAATAAGAATTGCACAAATTTTAACTATAGAAATATATTTTGTTTACTAAAACATTGTACATGTAAACTTAAACTTAACACGAGAGACTCATCGTAACGTTACCGAGCGTTACACTTTTTCATAAGTGACTCCCAGCCGCAACCTAATTTAAGACGTTGTCACGTCAAAAGCTATCTATCTATCTTCAAAGCAAAACTAGTTAAGAACGTGGAATATGCTACATTTCAACAACAAATGCTGAAAACGCCGATTCATAATCGCCGAGTAAGTTGTGACGACAGTGGCGGATCATTCTAGTAGCAAGTGTAGCGAATGAGCCCCACGCGTCAGCAGGCCCCTCGCACCAATATTTTCCGACCATATAAAAGTAACTAACACATGATTTTACGGAACCCTTGTAGAGCGAGGCCAGACTCGCGCTTGTCAGATTATTTTTGATACTCTGTTAACTCCGCGATGGATGTAGGGGCATGTCGTGAATATTTATTAATTACATGAAGTAAATAGTTGCAACGTGAACCAGACAGGTGACTCATTTTTCATAGTTCTATTAAAAGATCGATTTTACATTGTTTTATCGGAAACCGGGCGTTATACAAAGAATGTTTGAAAAATCTTATATGAATCTTACTATTCATATACATAGTTTTTTTAATATTTTTTAACGATTAAAAAGTCACTTTGTGGATTCGTTTGTAAATGTGGGAGGAGGTCGATAAATAAATCATAATTGTTGTTTATGAAAACAAACTCATTATTTTAAGAGCTATCCACTTATTGGCAATCCGGCAGGGCGGAGTCGATCATTGATAAAAAACTGAACATATGGCGCCGATGGTATGGAGCGGTGAGCGGTGCTATGAATGTGGGGAGTATTGGGTAACGATATTTGTCGTCGCGTCATCAGCGCGTGATGCGTGCGCCGCTGGCGGTTCTCACGCACGCTTGTTGAGGGTGAGCACGAACAGCTAGCGAGAATGTATTCGTATCGCCATCGTCAAAGTTTCCATTGAAACTACTAGTAACAAACCAAGCAGCGCCGATACCAGACGTAACAACAAACTAGCCCTTTCCGTATTTACTTTGACGAAGGTGATATGAATACTTTTCTAGGCAGTTGTTCGTCACTCGGCTGATAAGAATAGGGAGGATTGGGATGCGTGCTCCATCGCGTTTGTAATTTTTAAGTGCTTCACAAATTAGTGGTTCGTCTCTTAAAAAAATTGCTCTACCAATCACTAGGCTCCTTTTAAATGGATCATTCGAGGTGTTTGAGTAACTACGCTCCTACAATATATAAATCATTTATCTATGGCTCCTACAATAAAGTCTCTATAAATATTCAATAGGTTGGATATCAAAATTTTTTAAACCAGTATCATATTAAAAGATGTCTGATTTGAAGATATGATTATATTTCAGAAAAAGAAAATGCTTGGGTTCATACGATTCTTAACGTTTCGATAGTCCGTTTCGTTTTGATTTTGTATTGACACTGTGATAAATTATAAGATTTTGTAAATATTGTTACACAATTTTATTTATCGTTATGGAGTTTAGGCGTCCGTTGTCTCCGTCACAAAAAAATTTGGGCACTTATTGTTTCTTCGAAGATTCGACAAAGTTGTATTATGCTTCCAAATAAAAAAAAAAGTATTTGGACTTTAACTTTTAATTCTCGCGCGTTGTTTCCCGAAACGCCCGCGCAGCGAGCAGCGCCACCCGCTGCGTGTGAATGTGATCCTTATCTCAGACACGAACTCTGACCGATGTTAATTAAACTATTTACGACCGCTCAGCACATTGTGTTGAACATTAATAAAATTTGATTATAATTGAATGTGTGCTGTTGCGTTTCAAAGGGTCGCCTTTGGTTTAATTTTCAATATTTTTAATTGGTATGCCACGCTCCGATCGTTCAATCTTGTGCGATGACTTATCTTAAGTTAACGAGTTTTACGTTTTTTTTGGAGAAAGCGTGCAAAAACCAATAATTGTAACTGATGTTAAGTAGCCACCGCATCGTGTACACGCTTCCGGGACCAGGAGCACTGTGATCACATCCCAACTTCAATTTACAAATAAACATTATTATTAAAGTGAAAAAAAAAATATGTATTAGAAAAAATCCACGGAGTCGAGGCATCAGACTTTCTCTTCAATCTTTAGATTTCTAAATCTAGTAGTTCGATGCTTTAAAATAAAAATAAAAAATACTTAATAATGTATTATTATAATTCCCCCTCACAGCGCAGAGCTTTTAAGAACTTTTATACTACGGTATTCAAAGATGGAGGCTCATTTTTGAAAAATACTCTGTAACTCAAAAATTTTAATGACAAGATAGGAGTTAAATTAAAGTACCAATAATTAACAAAATTGTTTCGATCTGTGCACCGTTGAGTTGAGTGAGCTCAGAAAGTTTACTAGAAAATTCAGACAACGATTTAGGTTATATTTCCGCGTAATTTTTGTTCTTTAATACTTTCGGAACACTTCTTGACGTTTCCTGACTAATTGTGCAATTATGAAACTTTGACAATATTAATTGTTATTAATTGATTCAAATAATACTTACTTCTTTTCGGATCTATGTATTAAAGACAAGTAATAATTCCATTTTGTTAACTATACATAACTCAATATTTTGGATGGAAGTGTCTAGTTACTGGTTAAAATGTGCGCACTATTTTTAAGTTTTTCAAGTAACTCAAAATTCACGGTGTATATTTTTGACAATCTTGCCATGTTATTTTAGAACTGCTCTGTGTTATTTTATAATTTATTAATGAAATTTTATGTTTTTGCAGTGTCGGCCATCATCCGTTGCACTCGAAGACTGCATGGGGTTGATATCAGTCAGATTGCGTGACGCAGCTTGCGTGAGTAATGGAAGCAATCAACCACTGATCAGCCAGTCTACGGTGGTAAAGGCACATGAGAAGTCATAATACTAAAGAAAATGACAGTTAATCAAGTTACCTAACCTAGTGGTGAACATTAGAAAAGTGAAAAAAATAAGTACTGATAAAAAAATATTATTTGTGACAATGACATAAAGTGTAAATAACATTACATGAATGTTGATAAAGTGCTGAATAATAAGTGAGGTTTGAAACTAAATAAATAGCGTTAAGTGACCATTAGTGAAAAGTTTCCAGTTAAAGGAAGACAAGTGATAATGTGCTCGCCGCGAGTCAGCGCGCGCCTGCTGCTGCTGGCTGCGCTGCCGGCACTCGCAGGTATGGCACATTATTATAACACTACTTCATAGAGGTCTCATTCTCTAATGAGGTCTATGACAACTCTGAAGCAGAGACCTCAAATAAACAGAAGAAGGATCGAAATTACAGTACTTTTTAGAGGTCTATGATTATTTAGACAAAATTGACTCTGATGTGGCAATTTGTGAGCGTCCCAAAGAGCCGAGCCCAAACACGACCGAAAAGATGTGTTACATATTTTATTCATGAAAGTTTATTTCTCAATTGACGTTATTTTAATGAAGGTCATATCAATAACGATAATTATTTCATTTGCATTTATTTACTTAAATACATTATAATATGCAAAACAAACGAATTCCTCACTATACGTACATATGTGGCTTAGCATACGTATTTTTCTTTTATATGACAATGAATTACCTCTTCCGTATTGTATGGCTAAAATGCTAAGCTGTAAATAGGTAGGCACTTATAATAAGTTACAGTCTGCTTTATATGAGCTCGCTTGAAATCGTTTTGGTGGCCTGTGGCCTATTGCCAATTTGATGTGATGAATTTTACCTACAATTAACATTTCAGTGCACATTATTTGGCTGCGTACTAATACTAATGAACTCTCCATAGATAACGATTGTGAATCTAAGGGGCGTGGAAAATAATTACAGTATTCGCCTGATGCTATATAAGTGGTTAAGCCAATCGACTTAGCTGCACTGATGCCTGCTCCATTCAGGACAAAATCTGAGAATGCTGTTTTGAGCACCTAACATAACACAACTATTAAATAATTCGATTTAGCGTCAGACTCCGTTGGAGCTGCTGTTATGCCTCCCTCATGTGTGTTATCACAGTATCACGAAAGACTTGTCTAATTTTGATTAGATCGCGACAGAATAATTTAATCAAACATCCTAATGTATGTGTTGATAATGAAAAAGACCCCATGAATTTACCGATGAGTGTTTGAGCTCTTCCTATTCATTTTCTTCGTCTATAACCATAACGATGTACAATGTATGTTGGTTTTCATTTCACTCTATTTTTTTCCAATTTCCTCCATCATTGGACAATTTCCAAGGAAACAAATTGATTTTTGCACTTTATTATTAGCAGAACCGGTTTTTCATAGAGCACTAAACAAACAGTTGGTCCGGTAATCTGGTTTGGTTATAAAAAAATTCATTGATATTTGATGGTTGCGTAGCATCAGCAACGCTGATTGATATACCATGTGCGCGGTAAGATATGGCTAAGAGCTACCATAATATTTTATCTTTTCGAGGTTTTTAATATTTAGTTTTACTTTCCATTGCATTATTGTCGAATAGAATCTCCAGACTAGTTGCAGGCACGGTTAAATTTATATCATCGGAATGTTCAGAATGTAACATTCTAAAAGTGTCGTTGCAAATATATCGAGGAATGAAGCACAGCGGCTGATTGAATGGAAATAAAAAGCGGTGGATTGTTCCGATCCGATGCGTTCCGCTGGAGAACAGATGCGCCGCTCGGCGGCCGCTAACACAAACTATTTTGTTAATTGCTTCCTATAAATACTGTGACGGGAATGTCGAGTCCAAGTTACTTTCACAGTTTCGAAATTTATCTTTTAAGTAATAAGTACACGTAATACCTTTTTTTATACGCAGGCAAAAAATACTATTAACAGACGACGGCGCCTTTAAGAGGCACACCGCCGAACGGACCTCACACGTGGCTCCCGCAAGCCTTACGAGCCCCAGCAGTGGCTGCCCACTAAGGACCCCGTAACTCTGACGGACGCTTTACGGCATAATATCCGCTAAAAAACCCTGCGAATACCCTCTAAGCTGCTTAGCGCAAAGCCGCGGGATCCCCGTTTAGGGATTCTTCCGCGTCTCCGCACCTAGCAGCTTCGCGGCAGGGGTCTCCCGGGGTATCGCGGGGACCCCGGAGGAATTGATAGCAAAGAATAGAATGTGTTATCGGTAATGACTGAATGAATGAATCTCACAAATGGAATATTTTTAGCCATTTTTGCCACATTCGTCGTAGTTGACAGGTCGTAGCCTGATGTTATATAGCCTACCTCGATAAATGCACTATCTATACAAAAATATTTTTTCAAATCGGAACAGCAGAGAAATGATGCATTCGGTACAACGGGTTCTACGAAACAAAGTTTTTACTTGGAATGGAATGTTTATTATTATCATGAGTCGTTGTGTTTAATGCAAGCCTTTGAACAAAAACTATAGTCTACACTACACTACAGATTTGCACCGAAGCGAAGAGAGGGCGGGCCACTAGTATTAGGTGATAAGTTGAAAGTAACTTTAATAAAGTAATTTGTATGCTTTGAACTGAGCTATATAGGTTCAAGAATTTTAGTATGAAGATAAGGGAGACCTTTGAGAAGGAAATGGACAATTATTTCTCACAAAGTTGAAAAGTGAAGAGGCCAAATAGGAGATGAGTGTTTGTACGGTAGTTGATTACACAGAAGAATATAATCTTATGAAATAGACATGCATTTATTTGTATTGAACACGGTACAGATATTATAAATAAATAAATATTTCCAACACTCACACCAATAAGCCTAGCCCCAAAGTAAGCACTGTAAGGCTTGCGTTATGGGATACTAGGGTAACGGATAGAATACATATACAGTACATATATAAGTATATTTATATAGAAATACATATTAAGCATCCTTGACTGGAGTACAAATGCTCGTATTCATCACACAAACATCTGCCCCCACCGGGATTCGAACTCGGGAACTCTCGAGTTGGCGATACCATGAAACCTGGTGTACGAACCACTCGACCACGGAGGTCGTCAATTATAAATATATGTCCGTGTTTTAAAGCCACAACGTGCTTCGCCATAAAATAGCATGTAATTACATAAATAAAGTTATTAAACCTTGTCGCATTCATAAAATTACATTATATGCCCAAAAAATATTTCACTGAAATAACTGGTTTTCGTTCAGTCATTTAACTATGTAGGTTTACTTATTCTCTTAATTACTTTTCAAGCTTTGAATTCGCGGGTACCTAAGTAGGTTGTTATAAATAAATGAACTTAGTAAGGATCAGAAATTTTCAAAGAATTTCTGGCAGCCGGTGTAATATGACTCATTTCATAGTAGCGAAGAGCAGCGTGGGAGTCGGATCTCCTCTCAGTTCGTTACTAAGGCGAATATACATATAACAGATTAGCGACGTTTCAATACAAAGGTATTTGAGTTAGACAAAATAGTTAACAAGCTTGTGAATCTGACATATTTTCCGAATTCCCGAATCGCGAATAAAGTCAACGGTTATTTTGGATCGATGAATCAGTGCTGTGAGCATGGCAGGGCCTCAGTGATCTCGGAATATGCAACATCTGTCAGTCACATGGGCGGGCGTTGCTTGGAGTCATCGGCGCGTCCGGCTGTCCTATTACAGAGCCACAGATAGAAACTATCAAATCAAACAATGACTTTTATAAATAGAAACATCTCTTGTCTATTAGACAAGTCCGTCCGTCTGTCCGTCTGTGGTGCTGTTTCAACGGCCAAACCGTAAGAGATAGATAAAGAGAATATTTAAGTTATAAGTTAAGAATAGTCTGATAAGACTACAAACCGGATTTGAGTAACGTAGCACTTCCGGTTTTCGAGAAATCACGAATTTCAAACGAAACCACACAAAATCTCCGAAGTTCTCAATTAATTAAATACATTTTTTTTTAAATCAGGTTTTGGTGAACATTTGGTTCACTGGTTTGCTGGTATCTAACTAATTGGCAGTACTATAAACCGCACAAAAAGCTTTCACTCGCATACAAACGAAAATATTTTAGGCAATATGTCATTCAGACTCGCCGATGTTTCGAAAATAGCTACATTAAAATTTAGATTTCTACAACTTTGAAGAAACGATAAAACTTTTTGTATATTTGTCTTGTAAAGATCTAAAGATTCAATATAGGGCAAAAAGTGGTCCGTATATCAGCGTGTGACGCTTTTATAAGGTAAACACCCATTTAATTGTGCCCTTTGATGTGGATTGTCGCGGCGCACGATATATGGCCGCTTTGTTCTCCCTTCAGCTCGTCGCTGGTTACTATGAGTGACGGCTATAACTGTATGGCGTAACGCAGTCGATCACTCGATACACTCCCGATGGAAGCAACAATGCTGAGCACACAATGCTGTGTTGGTGAGCTCGTTGACAGACATGCGGGCGCGACGCACTTCACCAACAAAAGCTCAAAAATTTAAGCTATTTAAAACATAATGATAATGATATTATCATTATGTTTTTATTTATTGAAGTTATACTTCTTTAGGCGCGTTATGAAAAAATCATGTGAGTGAAATTTCGAGATGCGCGCGCATCACTGTAACACAATAGTAACACCATGAAGTTGGCCGCGGGCGCGTTATGAATGTTAGTATTATGTAATCTGTTCGAAAGGTACTTTGAACGATCCACGGAGCTCCATAAGATGATCGCGTTGTCAAAAACAATGTTGGCACGCTCGTCGCCTCTGATCACTGTTTTCATATTTATAATATTTATCCACATGTTTCTAGTTTCTATATAGACACAACGTGTTTTAGTTACTTACAAGTGCTAATTACATATGGACTAATAACTTAAATTCAGTAGTGATTTTAATTGAATATTTTGAATATTTATTTAATTTTTCAAATTAAAACTGAACTTAATTAACCGTGTTAACTATCCTTTTCCAGTCCTTTTATTATTTTATTGTAATTATTTATTATTTGCATGCAATTAAAAAATATTTTTAATGATGCTAAAGAAGTATAACTTCTCACGCGCGTACATAAGTTACACGCATCCATTTTTTTAAGCATTTAACTGCTAGATGTTTAAATCTAAAGAAAAGTTTACTAGAAAAAAATATATATTGCTATTTCTTCTTTCAAATGTTTAATACTTGAAAAAGTATTCATTTGACATTGTGGGTTACCTACAATGCGAAGAGATGGCGCTGCCAGCAGCTTAAGG